TGCACTGACAGACAGAAGAGTGAGGTTCTCTTTCTCCCTCAAGCATGAACTTGGTGATCTTCCCTTACAGGTCTCATTTTTCCCTGTATGTAACTGACATATCTTTGTAAACTCTTTTGAAATCTCCAGAGCTATGTCTACACTCACAGCTTCTTGCGTGACAAATGTGCAAATGAAGCTAAGCATGGGTTATCGCCAAGCCTCATTTGCATACCTAATGGGCCACCATTTTGCAGAAGAGGCTCTTGCGCCAGAAGGAGCTGTCTATACTGCCCTTTCTTGTGCAAGAAATTATTCTGGAAAATAATCAGTGTACTGGCATTTCGCAATAGGGTTTTTCTTGCTCAGGAAGGGGAAGTGTAGACAGCTCCTTCTGCAAAAATGGCAGCTCATTAGGTATGCAAATGAGGCTCGGCCATATTCCACGCTTAGCCTCATTTACATATTTCTCACACAAGAAGCCACGAGTGTAGACATAGCCGAAGTGAAAAGTGCAGTTGAAGAGTTAATTTTTCAGATTTTAGGGTCTCTACATCCTCATGGATAAAATTGAAGTGTAGTGTGTCCCTCTAAAGCGAGAATTTAAATATTGGCTCTTGCCTAGTGAGACAGCATGGACCTACGGGAAAGGAAAATTCAGAGATTCCACCCACCAAGAAAACCCCAAAGGGGAGAGCCAGGTCTAGGCAACATGGGGGTGAAAAAGCCAATGGCTGATCTGCACTAGCATGTTCACCATTATCTCTGGTGGAGCTACAGCAGTGCCAATGATAGTTAAGTTCAGTGCTGTGAGATGATGAACGAGGAAAACATGGCGGGAAGGAAATAAGTGTCAAGGGAAATTAAATAGGATAAGTTTGTTGGTCATGTGACACTATTACCTTAACTCCTTTCATACTTGGTGTTCTACAGCCCTAGTGCAGTGCTGAGATGCCGTTATGTTTTTTTCAAATGCACAATACAACCATGTACTTTTAATCTGAAGACTGTTTAGATAAAGGAAAACAAAGAAACTAGAAAGAGCAAAATAGAATTTCTGCACCGAAGAGCAGTGTATGTATCATCTGTAGCAACTCTGGGAACAAAACGGCTTCTGGCTCTGTGCTAATTTTAAGCTGTTCTTGCAACTGTACACAGGAAATGGGAGCAGGCATTATGGTTTTTGTGGCTACATACATCACAGAACCAGCTACTTATCACACATACAAACACACGGTACTTTTAGCAGGTTGGCTCAGTCCTGGCTTGAAACAGGCCTAGGACCTACTCCTGCTGCAGCTCTGCATTTAAAGTGTTTTAGGAACAGGCAGCCTGGTTCAGTTCTGACTTATACTGGGTTTGGGAGCTCAGACCCACCCTAGACAGGGGCTGCTGCCACTCCATGCTACTGCCTCTTTATCAGAGGCAGCAGCGCAGGAGGACAGACAGCCAATCTGCAAGGGGAGCTGGTTTTTAAACTGGCTCTCCTTGCGGACCAGCTCCTGCCTGGCACCCTGCACTGCTGCCTTTGATACTCAGGAGTGAGGCTGAAGAGCACTGGCTGCCGGCCCTCCCCTCAGGAATAGTTGACTAACATAAGAATTCTTGAGGTTACTTGACTATTCAATTAACCACTATTTAACATCCCTATTATGAATTGGACTGGAATGACCAACTCATTTCACACACGCTATCCTGCAATCATTAGAAGTCAGCAATTTTTGGTCACCATCAGCTACCAAAAGGCCAAAGAGATTGTGTTTGAATCTTATGTAGGAAAACATCTGAGGTGAATCAAGGCTAAGGCCAGAGTCAGGATTGGTATTAATCAGTAGCACATTCTGGTGAGATTTCAGCCCAAAACAATACATTTCAGTGAAAAAAGTCTGATGAAATGATTAGTTTGAGAGACTGTTACCATCTTGGGACAAACTCTTGAGATTTTAGAATCATACAAATCCCGACTTGAACATGTTAGAATCATAGACTTGATGTTCATTTACTCTTCTAGTTATCACCTGGAACCAGAACTACAGAGTGAGAGAATTAGCAACATGAATTCAAATGTGACCCTACTCCCACACACCTCAAGAAATCTGGTGTTTTGTTCTTAGCCTATAGCCTACCATTAACTTGGGCTGCTTTCATCCATTGATCTACGGGCATATCAACGGGCCCGGCCCCCCTCAAGCAGGGCAGATGAAGCAGTTAAAAATCCCCCCCGCAGGCTTACCTATCAGGGTCTTCGCAGCCCAATGGCCAGCATCCGAGTCTGACCCAGACAGAGGGGTATCAATACAGCCCTGTGGCGTAGTCCTTGCAGTGCTCCCCTATTGGGGCAAATACAGCCCTGAGGCCTAGTCCACAGGCTTTGGGGCCTTCCTCTTCCCTGGAGCACTGCAGAGAGAGGGGTAACAGAACCCGGGCCCTCCAGTTGCACTGGGTCCCAGCCCAGGGCCCTATTGGCAGTGGTTCAATCCATTGCTTGCTCAGCAGGGGGTTCTTCCCCTGAAAGTGCTGAGCACTCTGGGCTTTCAATTCCCTTCCCTGAGCCACTTCCTACCACCTGTTGCTGCTGGGGCTGTAGTAGCTGCTGCATCAGTTCAGGATGCATGGGAGCCTTTGGAGCTGGCTCTAGAGGTTCTTCCCCTGCAGCAGTGAGCCCCCAAGTGAACTGTCCCAGGGCCTTTTATAGTCCTGCTCACCAGTGAGCATGCTCAGCAAGGCCTTGGGGGGAGGGGCACTCTCAGCCAGCTGAGCCTAGCCCACAGACTGCTCTACAGAGCAAGGCTGATGTGCCCCACCACAAGGTGAAATATGTGCAAAAACAGCTCTTTCCTCTGTGGTTTCTCTGTTTCACTTCTCTATTTCCTTCTACTCTTTCTCTCTACTGTACCCTGCTGTGTAAGTGAACAACAGCAGAGTGAAAATGACTAAAATCCTGATCTCTGAAGTGCTCCTAGCAGTGCTCACTGACCGGAGTTCTAGGGAGGGCAAGTAAATAGGAATGGGAGACCCCCCCTCCCCCTCCCCCCCGCTGGCCTGTAGAGTGGGAGGGCAGTCTTCATGTCTGGACTGGTGTTTCAGCTGGTGCCTGTCCCAGAATGCAGACTTGAATCGTGATGTCAAAGGCCACAACTCCCTCAAACAAAGGATGAAAGAGCCCCCTATTCTACAAGGGAGAGCAGCAAGAAGATTGCCTCAGCTCAATAAACAGGCTGCTCTGGTTTTGGTGAGATTATTTGTATTATGGCCACACCTACATCCCTCAGAATAGGAGCTGCTTTACATCTAGCCACTGAAAACGACAAAGATTTGAGCCCTGGCCCTGAAGAATTTACAATCTAAGAGGACATTTGGCAGACAAAAGGAGAGGGAAAATGAATATATAAAAATTGTCTATTTGACTATAGGAAAAAAGTGACCATGATAATTATAAACAAGAAATACAACTATCCTTATTTTACCCTTGATCAACTCTTTCATATAATGTACCAAGCCAGCAATGGATCTTGAGAACACATTTGGAGGAGGTAGCAAAGGTCTTACATTCCATTTGCTCATTTTTATTGCAGTCATACTCTGAGCTGATGAGTACAAAGATTTCACACTGACTCCTAAAGGGCTGCTTGTTATGTTATATCACTGTTTCATTTCTTATGTATATTCCACAGTATTAATTGAAGTTTGTCCGCATTCACTTTATTTCAGTCAAGCTACATCATCACCACAAAGATAAAGCTCCCTGACTATTCTTCAGTTTCTTTATCTTCAATTTCAGAATCCTCAGCAAATAAGTTATCTTGCAGTTCATATTACTTTCCATCATAATTAGATACAGCAATCAACAAAAGATCTCATAACTGACCCCAAAGGAAATGCACCAAGTTACCTGTTTCTGAGACTGAGTTCTACCCATTAGCTACGTCTACACTGGCCTGAATTTCCGGAAATGCTTAAAACGGAATACTATTCCGTTTTCAGCTTTTCCGGAAGCGCGCTTTTCCGGAAAAGCAAAAGCCCGGAACCATTTTGAAAAGGGCAAAGGCCACCAGACCTTTCCGGGGGCGGGGCCGGAGCTCCGTCCAGACGCGTGGTTAAAGGGGTCTCGCCGGGCAGCCGTTGGTCTCGTGCTCCCGTGTCTTGTGACCTCTGGCAGGGACTGGCACCCTTCACAGGGTCGGTGGTTGCCCTGTGAGTTTTGGGGACACCACCCTTTGGCCCCCAACTGCTTTTCCCAGTGTCTTCTTTTTTCTGCCCTGCTCTATCTGCCATGGAGCTGTGGGTGGCCATGTACCTCCTCGGACCCCTGTTGGACCTGTACAGGTGCCTGGAGCTCGTGCTGCAGGCTGGTGCCCTGGCATTCATGTACCAGGACGCAAAGATCACTTTGGACTCCCTCACCAGGGAGGTTCTGGCAACCGCTTGGCATCAGCACCCTACCATTGACCGGCCCATCTGGACTTTGGAGACGAGCACCGACTGGTGGGACCGTGTGGTCCTTGGACTACGGGATGACCACCAGTGGATCTGGAATTTTCGGATGAGGAAGCGGACCTTCTTGACGCTGTGCACCTGGCTCACCCCCGCACTGCAGAGAACCGCCACCCGGCTGCGGGCACCCATCCCCGTCAACAAGAGGGTTGCCATCGCGCTGTGGAAGCTGGCCACACCGGACAGCTACCGCTCGGTGGCACACCAGTTCGGGGTGGGAAGATCCAACATTGGAGTGATCGTCATCCAGGTAAGTCCCAGGGGGAGTGGGATGGGGGGAGGGTGCTCCACTCAAGGCCCAGGGAAAGCCAAGACTCCCGGCTGGGTCACCCAGGGGTTTGGGCCGTCCCTCCCTTGTACAGGCCCGCTGGTGGGGGGGGCGTGGGGCGAGGGGGGCCCTGGCGTGTGTGTGTGTGTGTGTGTGTGTGTGTGTGTGTGTGTGTGGACAGAGGGAATCAAGGGGGGGACCCAAGGGAGCGCACACTCACCCCTGGTTGTATGTAATGTGTTCCCTTGTGTTTCTCTGCACCCTTCTGCAGGTTGTCCACGCCATCAATGACGTCCTGCTGCCGAGAATCATCCGCCTGCGCGACGTCGATGAGACCATGGCCGGCTTCGCTGCCCTCGGGTTCCCCAACTGCGGGGGAGCCCTGGACGCCACCCACATCGCCATCCGGGCCCCGGAGCATCGAGCAGCCCACTTTATGAACAGAAAGGGGTACTGCTCCATCGTCCTGCA